TGAATCCAGGGCCAGAGATTGAGAAACCACCAAAAACGTGTGTGTCCCTGAACACATATTTGTCAGTGAAGGACAAAGAATTGCAGTATGACCGTTCTCCATGAAAGTTGCTTTCTTTCTCTATCTCTCTGACATTTAGCCTCTGGCAAATTTTTAAAATTTAATTAAATTAGTAAAAATAATGTACAGTGAAATACTAAAAATGTCCAAGAAATGATACTTGACAGAATATAGATCTAAATTGGTCAAATCTATGTGTGTTTTTAGGAATGCATCCAACAGCAGAGAATATTAACATAATAACCATACCCATGTCATCTCTAGTGACACAGATGCTGTGGCCTTCATGCAATACTCATGGTGAGGACAAAAATTAGTACTACATACTATCCTAACATGACTCATGGAAAGAATTTCCTTTTAGAATTAACTGTACTAATACTGTCTGCAAAAATCCTGGAGGTGGACAAGTGATTCAATTTTAAAACATGAAACCATTTTTGAAACCTATAGTCTCAGGGTTTTGTAGTTGATTCATAAATAAGTTTATATTTTTAAATAAACACTAAATCATGGAACCAGCAGCTGGTATCATGCTTAAGGTTCTGGACTCCCACATGGTCAACTGTGGTTTAAGTCCTGGACTGGTAGTTTACTTTCTTACTTTCCCTCTCTCTTGGTGTCTGTCTCTCTTTGGTGAGTATATGTGCCCTATAGCAAACTTAAAAATAATAATAACTCTTAACGAAATAAAATGAATATTAAAAAATAAACACTAAATTTATAAAGTTTATCTAAAAATATCAAAAAGGGACAAATACATTAGACAACTTTGTTGAGCAAAACAAGTACATACAATATACGCACATAAAAATAAACATCAGAAAGTTTAGTTTCTATCTTATTTCCACTTGTAATAGCAATAACAATATTTTATTTGCACTTTGAAAAAGTTTGACATTGACTCTTGAAAAAGCAAATTCAAAAGTTAAGAGGATAACATGGTTTATTAAAAATCTCTTTAATGAGGCCAGCAAATTATTTGATGGTTAAGTCACTGGACACTTGATTATGTTCCAGTCCCAGATCTGGCAGTTTGCTTTTTTACTCTCTCTCTCTCTTTCATGAGCACACATCCCATTTAGCAAATTTAAAATAATGATAATAGATAATAGTAAATAAATAATTGTCTTTAAAAATCTATTTTGTGGGTTGAAACCATGGCTTAGTGATTAAGTCAGCTAGATTTCACATGGCTCAAGTCCCAGACCTGGAGGCTGAAGAAACATTTCAGGCATGTGCATATGCACATAGGCCAAAAAATTAAAAAGGAGGGGAAACCAGCAGTTAGCGTAATGGCTATGTCGCTGGACTCCCACGTAGTTGACTGAGGTTCGCATCCCGGACCCGGTGGCTTAAAACTCACGCCGGGCGCGTGTGCGTGTGTGCCCAAGATCCCTAGAGGAGAATGGAGGAGAAGGGATTGCAGCGTGACCATCCCCCCTGGGGGATGATTTCTCGCTTTCTGTCTCTCTGTCTCTCTCTGTCTGTATGGTGAGCGCACACGCCCTATAGTGAAAAAACCTCTCCAAAAAAAAAAAAATTAAAAAGGAGGGAGAAATGGAGAAGGGATTGCAGCCTGACCTTTACCCATGGTAAGTGCTTTCTCTTCTTTTTATCCTCACTATTTCTTTTTCTGTCTCTGGACACATTCTCACTAGAAAAACAAAAAACAAAAATACCTGTTAGAATTTAGAAGTTTTAATTTTATATTTTGCCACAAATTGTTTATTGCATTGTCACATGACAATTACACTCTTATCAAAAGATGTCCAAAATAAAGAAAGAACAAAACATGTTTTCCCTTTTCAAAAATTTTTAATTGGGTCTAAATAGTATCCCAAAATTGCACACATTTAAGGTACATATTTTGATAAACTTGGAGAAATGCACACCTTTATAATATCACTACCACTACCAAGAATCTAAACCTATTCATTTATATAATGTCTTAAAATTTTTTCTGCAAGGTGTGGTTGGTAAGGGCACTGGATTTCCACATGACTGACCATGGTTAGAATATTGGAATTTTCAGCTTTCTTTTTCCCTTTCTCTCACTCTGTGTCTTTGTGGTCAATATAACATATTAATAATAATGAATAAAATATAATATTTCTGTAAAAACTTACTTATTAGGTAAGGCATGTGCATTTTCCAGGCAAAGTTAGGATAATTGAGAAATCATGCAAAAGGCAAATTTTCTTTCTTTCTTTCTTTTTTTTTTGAGAGGTTTTTGCTATAGGGCGTGTGTGCTTGCCAGACAGTCAGAGAGAGACAGAGAGACAGAAAGCATCATGGCCATTACAAACTGGCCATGATGTAATCATGACCATTAGAAGTAATTACCAATGGAACTCCCTCCATTCGGAATTCTGGGGATGCACACATACATGCTTTTTTAAAATAATTATAATTTTACTTTATTATTATTTTAAAAACTTGATCAGAGAGAAAGAGAAAGGGAAAGTAAGAAAATAAGCCATTAGATGTAGGATTTGAACCACAATCTGCCATGTGAGGAGTCCAACACCTTATCACCATTGCCACCTTTGGCCCCACCTGGTGTGTTTTGTAAGCTACAGGTACAGAACTCAAGTTGCCAGCTTGGTCATATGTGGTTTAGCCATGTTAACTATTCCACAGTCTCAACCCATGTTGTGCCCTTTATGAATGACCAAGATTAGTCTCTAATTGGTTCACACCAGATTTTATTAGTTTGGAATTTATGAGAGTCTGAGTGCAAATCACATTCTGGAAAACATACTAGAACATTTCTGATGAGTGACAACCACTCTTCCATTGTATTTTTTTTTTTTTTTAAGAATTCATCTTACATGAGCCCTGAGCTGCTGGCCACTCAAACAAAACTGAGCCCCTACAGAAATGTGAACATGTAAATAGAGATGTTAAAATAGGATTGCTTTATAGATATTGACTGTCCACTCTACATTAAATGCAGTTCTAATTTGTAAACCATGCCTTTAATTCAGCTTCATCCATTTCTGAGGAAAAGCCAACTGACAAACAACATTGAATACAATGTGCTCCTGGATGAAGAAAGAAATATGACGCAATAT